CGCCAGTTTCTAAATGTTTGGAATATATGGAAGTAAAGTTCACGCGAAGAAATAGAATACGTAAGCAATTATCGGGAAAAACCTGTACATATTGTCAGTAGCGGTTTTTCTCGGCAAATGCGTTGTATTGTCTTGTAGTTACGACTGAAGCCACCTCTTGTCGCGGCAGGTAATAAAAACTGTAAGCAAACTTAATCCTGCTATGCAAACGTGGTGTAAGTTCATAAACCATCCTCTCTTAGCGCTTCTTTACAATATATGCAAAGAACAATGGAAAATTAACATATTCTGCGTACAGTTATCTTCGATTAATATTTGCGACACATATTAAGAGCACATGATTCAAAAAGATCGCTACAGCAAACTGATTAACATTTACAGAATTGCATAACATATCACATCACTTAATAAGTCTCCGGTTTGACACACACGTGGCAATACTTTTCACAGAGTCATGGGATCGCTGAATAGTCAAATCAAAATTTAGTCGAGTAACTAGCAAATGGGGAAATTCGTCCAAACCGACTCGAAAAGTAGCCGGACTGACATCATTACAACTTGTAATGTAATGCTTGGAATGTCATGAAATTTTCAAACGTCTCGTTTGAAAGGTAACACTAGCCAGAAATCATGTGCGTATGCATATGTTATATATATGTATTTTTGGATTTTGAAAATAGATTGACTTGGACTATGTTATATTGCGGACGTGTCTTCCAACTAAGTTAGCCCATTTCTCGTACAAATCTGCATGCAAGAACTTCAAATGCCTACGTTAAATTTTCAGCCGAGAGCGCTACTTTTCCAGTTCGGATATTTTATACTGAATATATATACTAATAAAATAATATGAAATTACAAAAGAACTTCTTAAAATCATGGGCAAAATTTTTGATTCAATTTAGGACCACTCTAGCAAGCTAACTAAAAAGAGTTTTTGACAATTTTCTGGAATAGAAGGAAAAGTGATGGATTAATAGCATATGAAAATGTTGTTAAACGTATATTTAAGTACTAAAACGGAAAAATTATATTTGATCAAGTAAGAAAGTTGACTCCATTGAAGCCGAATGCCGTCAAAAAAAATTTATTTCATCTTTTACCTTTTACTTCTCTACCAGATATTGTTAAGGAAATTTAATGACGTGACGTAGATAGTTTTTTGCATTCTACTCTCCACGCCCTTTTATTTGATATTCATATGGACGACATTTTTAAACAAGAAGGGTATCCACCACGTCGTGACGGCCACTTTAATTAATTTAGAATTAACAAACTTACTTTGTGGTCTTCCACTCTCCAAGTTCTTATATTTGGTATAATGTGTTCCACAGGAGGTGTAGGGTATCAAAACAGAGACAGAGTAACTTGTAGGGGATTTTAAAACCAGTTTATTTTACCTTTATTTCTTGTGGCCCCTATAACATTTTTCCATCCCTGCTATCATCTCTTTGTATCATTCACGGCCATTTAAAGGATTGATTGAAGTTGAAGATTTTCTGGAAAAAATAGAGAAATGTTACCACTCGATATTTTCAAGGGTATATATCAAAGATTGGATATTCGTGGCGATCAAAATTGTCTTTTCGTTTTCAAATACGACCAATCACTCAAGAGATGTCTGTTCTATTTGCAATACGATGATGGTGAAAAAGAAACAAAGGAAAGAGGAAGAGATAGGAAAGTTGTCGATGCCAGCCTAGCGGCTGTTTGATCAATCGGTAGGTATGATACCTTTACGAACTGACCATTCACTATTGCTATGACCAAAGAAAACCTTACCGCACTGAGATTTGAACCCGCGAACAATGGCTTGGCAATCGCATATCTTACCTACTCGTTTACTCATGCAGTTAAAATGACCTTCTACGCTGCTCGTAATGCTTTTCAATAAAGAAAACTTGACATTTGACCTGTCAACTTATCTCTTCGTGCATTGTCGCCCTCGGTTTATGTTACTCTTGCTGAAGTTAACGTTAACGTTAGTGGAAGAACAATGTTATCTTATTTTTCATAAGTTTGTATTTCGAGTAGAAAAGTTTTTTTCTTTTGCACACTGCAAGTAAAAATCCTTGAATTCTTGAATTGAAATGTTGATCAAATGATTTAATTGACTTATTGCAAAACTTGAGTATCGAAGAGTTATTAAAGTGCTTTAAAGAGTTCAAAATAACTTCATTTGAACAACCAATCGAGGATAAATTCGTAAACAGCTAATAAGAAATCGATAACTGATTGGACGGCTGTCTCACGTAGCGCTATTACAAATTATTGAAATGGAAATGGATTGGATTGGATTTATGAAAATTAAAATAACCATAAATTTATCTGGCGAAAAAAAGAATGAAAAACCAAAAATAATAATAACTTATTTAATATGCATAAGCGATGATGGCAACTGCCATACGTGCGTGCGGTGATGCGTTTACATCATAATAAATACATTTATGAATTTTATTTTTATTTATTTCATTGCATAAAGATAAATGTCTGCTGTGTGCATACATTAACTTATGTACATTGTATGCATTTTATGCGTGTTCTGTGCACGTGTCAGAATTTTAACAAAAGCACACAAAATGGAAATTATTCGATTAGCAAAAGAAGAGGAACAGCAAAAAAAAAAAAAAACCAACGAGATAAAAATGAGCGGAAAAGGCAAAAAGAAAAAAAAATTTAAATGAAAATATTGTTAACATTAACAATCGGCGTTAATCTCATTTATTAATTATTTCTGTTATTGTGGTTGCGGTTATTATTATTGTTACGATTATTATTGATTTGATTGCATTTTAATTTCAACTGTCATTAAAATTTATAAAATAATTACCGACTTATACGAAATTTGATAAACAAAAAAAAACACATGAACTTGCCCAGTCATCATGTCCATTCGTTTATTGACGTGTTTAAAACTATGTAAGTAAACTTTAACATGGGTTAGTATAGCAAGCAGTAACGATAGCTAATAAATGCTTGATAATCAGTGATATGGCAAAAACAAAAAGCAAACAACATGGAATGGTTTGGATTTCCCACGATGGTGCAGCTCACACGCATAGCTTAGGCCTATTGACTTACTGCTCGTGACTGCCGAAGGTCAATGCAACAATGTTGGCCTTCCCTATAAGGTGTAAAAATAATCTCTCAATTTTGTCCCTTTTTATTGCTATGTCAATCAGCCTAAATGTATTTTATTGAAGTTCGTCCCTAGTTGCACTTGTTTTCATGGTTTCACTACACTTGACGAAAAGTGAAACCGGTCTTCACGGACAATCCATAAAAGAAGCAATTGTTTTTGTATGGTTGTCATACTCCGGCAAAGCAATACGTCATCGATCTATAAAAAGAGAGATACATTATAGTACAAATCACCATTCTCATATGAGGCCGAAAGCTGTCATATTGAGAAATCCAGATGTCATAACTTTTAGAATATCAAATTCAAGCTTTCAGCGCAACTGCATCAGCTGTTATCGACAATTAGCTTCCCCTAGCACACGGTTCGCGTAAGGGAATTCGCTCTCGCAAAAGAGACAACAAACATATTGACATTTATTCTTAGCATTAATGTTAGCGTTTCGCTTGACCCATATGATGGTTTCTGTGGGGTTTGTATAGTGACCACGTTTTATCATCCACTTAAGACTTAACCAGCACTTCGTCACGAATTAAGCAGAGAAGTCGTCCTTTCATCTTAATGGCTGCCGCAACGCTGAGTAGACAAGAGTCACGACACTCCAATCGGTGTTCGCCTTCTCGTATCTCAGTACGGTTGGCCATACTGACCGTACACGCTTCGTAGCTACAGCGAGTGCTCAATCGGCAAACACTTTCCGATTGGGCATACATCCACAAAGCTGCTACTATTTTCTCTCTCTCTCTGTCCACAGCTCTTCGTCCATCAAGCAAAATCCCCTGAGGGAGTTATCATATGAAAAAAAAGAGATGTAATGTTTTCAGACAGTGTACTGCGTTCACATTATCGGGCTAACTTTAAGACTCAGAAGAAAAGTCCAACTTTGGGCAGAGTTCACAGGCAAACTAACGCCATCTCTTAAGAATATTGAGGCAAGATTTTTTTAACCTTGTAGAAAGTGTTGAAGAAATTCATTGCCTCAAAGAAATTTCTACCTTGAAATGTCAAGCTTTCCCCAAATGCTTGGGAAAAACTTCTTGTGTTGAATGAATCCCAGCTAGGAATTTCCAACGTAATGTCTTACATTAACACACGTCTCTATTTACGTTCGCTTAAAAGCATATGCAAGCAAAAAGGCGTTAGTGCAGCTTCAGCGAGACGGTTGTTGAATTGATAGGAAGCTGAGAGCGACTCGTAAACACTCAACGCTTCTGCCAAGCAACTCAAAGTTTGGGAAGAAGTTTCCGTGTTAAATATGATTTCGATCGTAAAATTATAGATTTTTTGTCGCTGATCAAGTATCACTCCGCAACACATAAAGTGTAAAATTTGCTGTTTTGTCTTTCTCAGGCACTTTCCAACCGAAAATTATAATATTTATACATAGCAGGGCGTTCTTACGATCCTAGATATATTATAAAAAAGCACCTTTTGTGCACAAGTCCACGCCTTAAAATCGCTCCCTCAAACACAGTACGCCTCCAATAATTTTCATTCTTTTCATTTGACTTTTTTACTTTAAACAACTAAAGTGTTCTCTTTGATGCTTTGTAATTGAGTCTGTAATTTAATAAACATAACCAAGGAAGATGTGGTTTTTGGTGTAATGTTATGCGACGAGTCACTCTAAGGTACGACGTTGTTTCTTTTTTACAAACATGGCTTATCTAAATTTTAACTTTCATCATTTGTACTAAACAATTGTAAAGTAATTTAGGAGGATTAAATGTATAAACAGCTACTGATAAAGTTAGAGTCAATTATTTCTGAGAATAGTTTTTTTTTTTTATATATAAGTTTTATATATTATTAGCCTTTTGGTCGCTATTAACGTTTTCGTCGCGTGAAGAAAATCACGTATAAATCCCGTAGCTTGTCGACGGCACGGTAGAACTTTTTAAACGTCTTTATAATCGGCGGTCAGGCATAGCACTGAGCTCTGAATGTTGTTATTACAAGTTTATTAAATCGCGCAAACATGTTACTGAAATCACTTCAAGAATGTCTTCTCATTATTTCAATTTGTTTATTTTTACTGTTGGCTATTATTGCTTCCGTTGCACAGTCAGATGAGATAGTAGCGGCAGAAACTTCTATAGAAAAACTATATGATCAAAATGGAATGAATTCCATGTTAAAGGTCTCGATGCCAGTTCTTGCAACTGAGCCAATGCCACCTATATTGAATCTCTCAAATTATCCGGGTGAAGAATGCAAGCGTGATTGTATGCCGAATCAAAAGCGTGTATGTTATTTTCACTTTGTTTTGGAAAATTACCAAGCAATGGGAGTGTAAGTGCGAAAAAGAAAATACGATGAAATCAAAAAATTTAAAAAGCATTTCATATATTGTTAGTGCTTGCGGCAAGTGTGCTGAAGGCGTGGAAAGCGATTGCTATAAACCACAATGTATTATCGGTGATGGTGTGGAAAAAGGTGTAATGAGTATTAATCGTCAAATACCTGGCCCAGATATTCAAGTTTGCCATGGTGATTATATCGTGGTCGATGTAGTGAATCATGCTCATGGCAGCGCCGCAACCATACACTGGCACGGTCTGCACATGAAAGACACTCCGTACATGGACGGCGTGCCATATGTCACTCAGTGTCCGATACCATTTGCCACCACATTCCGTTATGAATTCTATGCTACTGAGCCTGGTACACAATTCTATCACTCACATTCCGGCCATCACAAAGTAAACGGACAATACGGTGCCTTAATAGTAAGGCAACCTTTAAAAGAAGATCCTGAGAATCTGATGTACGATTTCGATTTACCGGAACATTATGTATTAATATCGGATTGGATGCATGTCTATGGAGAAGATATGTTCCCGGGCCGACCAAGCAGGGAGATACTTCCAAACTCAGTGTTAATTAATGGACGAGGCCAATACATGGCAGTACGTGTTGACAAAAAAAATTATTTAATATCTATAAGAAAATCAATTATTTAAAAATTATAGCCCGAAGGTTCCGAACGCACAACCGTACCTCCCACTATATACTATGTGGAAGCTGGTGAACGATATCGTTTCCGCTTAATTAATGGTATTAGTCATGCCTGTCCTATTCAATTCCAGGTAAGTGTTTACCGAAAAGAACCTTTTAATTAAAAACTTAAAAAAAAAACTCTTTTTTTTCGTAATATTTTAATATACAATTATTTTCCTAAAACATTTTCGAAGATTGAAAAACACGATTTGGTGATAATTGCCTCGGACTCATTTAATGTACGACCTCGTCTTTTTAATACATTGGTCTCTAATTCGGGTGAACGTTACGACTTTGTACTGACTGCTAATCATACCGAAGGCGATTTTTGGATACGTGTACGAGCTATGGGTATTTGTAAACCGGAACGCATTGAATCATTTGCCCTGTTAAGGTACAAAAAAGGTAACGGCGAAGAGGATGAACCAGATGAAAGTGAACGTCCCGATATGCCTGACTATGACCAGGAGTATCCCAGCGATTTGGTATGTAATCTCAGCCCTTTTGTTGGCTCATTATTGCACGTTTTAATTCTTTCTCACTCGAAGACGTTAAATCATCCGAAAGCTAGTTGTTTTGAGCATAAGGACGATTATTGCATAACTGAATTAACAGCTTTAGAAGAAGATGAGGATTTGCGTTATGGTACACCGGATCACAAATTCTTTTTGGCCTTCCAAAATCACGAAATGAACAATGAGGAACTATTCGAAAATAATCAATATAATCATTTCGCAAGTAATTACACTTTGTAGAATGCATTTCGAAAGCATATGTCTCGCGTAATAATTTTAATTGCATTAATCAGATATATTCTCGAATATCACAATTGTTGGAGCCATTAATAAACTTAGCCTGGTATTTCCTGATAGTCCGCCTCTGACCCAGCCAAGGGATATAGATGAGACGAAATTATGCCAAATAGATAAATGGCCGGAACATTGCCGGTCAAATAAAGAGCTGTGTCCTTGCGTACATGTTTTGCCCGTGAAAGAGAACAGTCTTGTCGAATTGATAGTGGTGGATGAAAGCGAATGTAACGCACCAAATAATAACTCTCTTGGAAATTTATAAACATATTTTCTTCTTATGAAAAAAATAGTTGTAGGCGATTTGCATCATCCTTTCCATTTACATGGTTATCGTTTTATGGTCATCGGATTATATCGAAACACCACCGGCTTACCCATGACTCTAAACAGAGCAAAAAGTTTAGATCGAAGTGGTAGTCTAAAGCGCCAAACTGGACCGCGACCTCCATTTAAAGACACCGTCTCTATACCTAATCGCGGCTATGCTGTTATTCGTTTTCGCGCTACGAATCCTGGTAACTATAATAATACATGAAGACATTTTCACTCATTTCTTTCCTTTACTTTGCTTTCATTTAAACAGGCTTCTGGATAATGCATTGCCATTACGAATGGCATGTAGCCATCGGTATGGGATTGATATTACAAGTAGGTCCAACAGCTCGCATGGTAAAACCACCCGTAGGTTTTCCACGTTGCGGCAACTATTTGCCGCGTGTGAAAAGACCACATTTTTAGCTTTAGTCAAATACATAAATAACCAAAGGCATTTTTATTCTATCTTTTCTAAACTAAGTTAAGAATTTTAATTTTTTTGTTTAAAATCCCTGTATATGAAAAAACTGAAGGATAAAACAGAACTAAGTAAATATAAAACACACAGTAACCAAAGAGTAAGCGGTTCGTTTTTTTGGAAAGTGATTGCAAGGGACCTTTTTTTTAGCTAAGTATAACGCGCGCTGATCTAAATGATAACCCTGAGTTATTTATGACAAAAGTCAAAGAGTTGGTACTCCATCTCATTTATTTCTCATCCAAATTCCAAGACTTAAGAGGTAATATTGTCTTGTAAGCAAGAATTGTGAAGAAGGACTAATCAGCGGGTTAATACAAAAAAACACTAAACTAAGACGTCTGCCCTTCCATGGTCGCAAAGGTCACATTTTATATATTGTTCAAAAAAGGAAGATAACAGATCAGTAAATAAATATACAGGGTTACTAAGTACACAAGTCTCGAATAATATGCGACTTTGTTCACTAATTAAATGAATGCATTCAACGCTTCTCTAACATATAGTACCTCTCGGATTGAACGAAAACTTTGATTCGGCTAGGATAACTTTTTGAATCGCCTCTCATATCACCGTTCCTATGAAAGAAGATCTACTTTCCGATATTTCCCCGTGGAAATTGGTTCATAATAGTATGCTGACAAAGAAATTAACCTTACCGAGTTTGAACAAGGTAGGTATATTTTTTGGATACCAACGTGGCAAGTAAAGATTCTCAGAAAACGCCCTTATACGCCAAAGAGACAATTGTTAATGTTCTATGACGAAAGTTTGTTCATGTTCACTAAGTTTACATAAAAATTAAGAGAACTATTGTATATAAGATTTTTCATGAGTAGTAAGCCCTTCAGAAGAAGGTTTAATTTTTTATATTTTATGATGAGAGTTACTCCACAATAGCAATGTAACGAAAAAATTAACTGTGGAGGATCTGGATCGTCCCTTAAGACCCCAACATTTATAGGGGTTATCAGGCAAAGCAAGCCATTATATGAAAAGAAACTCTAATATCTAATTTTTCATGACTGAAACAAAAAAACAATAGCAATAAGCGTGCTCACAGGAAAAAAGTCCCGTTACACGAAAGTAGCGAGTCAATTTTAGTGTACACTTAACAAAACGAGCGAATATAGAATAAGTAAATGTACTAGTTGAAGTGGCGTAGAGTATCTAATGGCTGGCCTTGTCCGCCTACAGCATTCTTACTTGTGTTTTCATTTAGTACCTTTCGTCGTTGCTATCGTATCCACCATATGAAGAAAACCACGTACAAATCCGAAAACATGTCGACAACACAGCAAGACTTTTTAAATGTCTTTGTAATTGCCGGTCAGGTACAACTCGGCGCTCTAAATATTGTTTTACTAGTTTGTTAAAACGTGCGAACATGTCACGGAAATCGCTTCAGGAATACCTTGCAATTATTTCAATCCGTTTACCTTTTCTACTGCTTCTTACAATTTTGGCTGCAAAGTCATGGAAAATTTGCAAAAAAAAAAATCTAAATCCGTTTATATTAAATCTTCTCAAGTATTTTGACGAAATACACAAGCATTTTAATATGTCCAATGAGAAGGGTGTGTGTTGCTCACTTTGCTTTGGAAAATTATTAAGCAATGGGAGTGTAAGTGCAAAAGAAAACAATTCGATGAAAATGAGAAACCTAAAAAACACTTCATATGTTGTTTGTGTTTGCCGTAAACATTCTGAAAGTGTGTTGAGCGAGTCAGTCAGACTCCAGGTTAACAGAAAATTTATTGCCGCTTTGTCGCCACTTTCCCGTTTGAATTTACTCTCGATCTTTATGAGCGTAGCTTAAATATAATAAACGATTACTACTATCCAGATTATGTCCCCTTTGTAAGCCCTTACCCTCTGGGTTGAGATGGCTTTTCCTCGCTCTCCCAGTCTTTCTCTTCAATTCCTTCAAAGTGCACGCAACTGTGAGTGCACGCAATCGGGCATCACCGCCAAAGCAGAATTTCCTAGCTAAGAACGAACGACGGTGATTGCATGGGAGCAATCCACAGCTTCACAGTCGCGGCAGAAAAAAATTTCCCTAATCTTGCTTTTCTTTTATTAACGGCAAGCATTAAATAAAGTAAGCTCTCCTAAGCTCAAGAACAAGATTGAACAAACCCAACTAAAGACTGGCCAGAAGCTTACCAATGCGAGACCGATAGACATCTCCCCGTTATGGCCGGTTTGTTGTGCTACTTATACTATGTTAGCCAGAGTTTGCTGGGTGGCGCATAAATTAGTCATAATGCGGGGACATATCAGCGGTTGGTATTTTACCCAGAGTGGGTAAAGGATATTAATATGTCAAGTAAATGTTAACGTAAATGTCTAATAATATTTATATATAAGAATATTGTATAAGAGTGAAAGTGTTTCTTGAGTATTAATTTGGCAACCATTCCTTCCATCGATACAGATGGTTGGTTTCCTATTGATTCGACAGCTATCTCTACAAAAGATACCGTTTTTCCCCTTTTCACAGATTAAGCGGGTATCTTAGTATTAAAAGTAAGCGCTTGCTATTACAAATAGGAACCGTGAAAAGGGGCAAGCGTTGATGAGTACTTCGGGTACATTCTTTTAACACTAAGTCGCATGTGCTTATATGTGCATGGATGAGTCATATACAATGTATTTATATTTATATAATATACTTTTTGTAACTAGGCTTAATGTTATTATTATTATTTTTATTATTATTATTATTAATTTCGCCAGAGACTAAACCCTTAAAGCGCTAGCATCTAAGGCTTTAAAAAAATGTTGTGTTACAAACGTCTGTGACATTTGACATAAGTGCACACTGTATTGTTCTAACAAACATTAAATTGTTTTATATTCAAATGTTTTGAGAGCAATAATATAATAATCGATTTTCTTAAAAGTATTGTTATTATTATTATTAATTTCGCTAGAGAAATAAATTCTAAGCACTGGCATCTAAGGCTGCCGGCTATTATTAAAAACTCTATCGCACTTGATATTCGAACCCACGACCATTGATTTGCTAGTCGAGGTTCCTCGCCTTCGGCCACTCAGGTGAATAGGGTTAATATAACAATATCTTCAATAGGTAAAGAAGATAAAGATATACATTCATTTGTAAGGTTTAAGGATGTGTTCATTTATAAGGTTTTATACTTGGGTGAAATAATTAATCACATACTACATACGGCAGTTAATTTCTGGGCGGCTAAATAAGGCCAGAGCTATTTTGCAATTACTGAAAATCCAAGACCTGTATTTAAGGACCCTCTTCCCATACCTAACCAGGGCTTTGCTGTTTCGAGCTAGAAGTTCTCGTAACTCTTATAATAAATTATAATATGCTTCAGGCTCGCACTTATTTCCTTTACTTTGCTTTGATTTAAACAGTCTTTTAGGTAATGCATTGCCACTATGAGTGGCATTTAGTTAATGGCATGGGTAAAACCAGCGGTAGGTTTTCCAGGTTGCGGCAACTATTTTTCACGTGTGAAAAAACCACGTTTTCGGTGGTAGTCAAACGCTTTACCAAAGGCATTTCTTTTCTATCTTTTTTCAACTAAGTTAAGATTTTTAATTGTTTAAAATCTCTTTGCGCTTTTATGTGAATGAACCAAAAAACAAAAAAAGAAGAAAGTAAATATAAAACACAAAGTAACCAAAGGACAAACGGTTGGCTTTTGTTTAAAGTGATTTCAAAAGAATTTTCATTTGACTGTGCATTTATTTGCAGCGAACCCTAACTTATATATAACAACAGCCAGCCACTTTAACTGATATTAAAGTTAGGGTTAGTGCTCCATTTCATTTATTTCTTGCAATTATTTTTATGACACTTCACAGCAGCGAAAGATTGTTTGCCTTTAATCATATAGAGTTGAGGGTTCTTGTTGAAGGACATAAGAATATGAAGCGCTATTGAGTTTGAGGAACAAAAAGTATTAACTTTAATGGTTTTATTAAAAGAAAGCAAGTGAGAACATTATAGTCGGTCAAAGCGGAACTTTAAATACCCTACACGAATTCTTCTAGAATTGTTTTTCACTCGTTTTCGTAATAATACTCCAAAAATCACACCTCTTTATGTCAGGCATACTTTTCATGCAAGTCCGCGTGGGCTTTGGATGCCCAACCATTTAATTTACATGCGAAAGATTTCATCATTTTTCAGTTTCCGTTCCATATAAGAGCTTGCTTTTCATCTCAACCCTTACATACTAGACCGCAACCGACTTGATTATCAGCAAGGTTTTAGGTTTTTCGAATATAGGCGCCGCTTGACATGAGAACGTTCCATCATGTAGGCTGAAATTATGCTCTAACGAGCTATGTGGTGTGATATCAACAATTTTTAATCAATCTTTGAAATCACGCATTTTCGCTTTGTGCTGGAAGGGTAGCTTTCTCATTCGACTTCAAAAATGTGGAAACAGATATCTCATCGAGAACTATGGCGACATCGCCAAGCTGAATGTGCTCACCAGTTAGTTCTGGCTATCGAGTCTTAGATTTCTCCCTTTTCAGGAAGGCTTTCTCAAAGGAAGATCGCTTAGTACGAACCTCTTAGAGTAAACTTGCCATATTTTCAAAGCTTTTCTTAGTGGCCCTCTCATGGACGTCGTGTACACTGATTTCAGTAAAGCCTTTAACTTATTTAATCGTAAGTTCTCGATCTTCAAAGTCCAGGTACCTGGCTTCTGTTTGTACTTATTGAAATGGATAAGTTCTTATCTCCATAGCAGGTCATTCAGGGTTCTATTTAACTCCACTATCTCGGATGAATTTCCCCGTGACGTTAGGTAGCCTTCAAGTAGGTAGTCAGGTAGCTACTTAAGGCGCCTTTTATTCAATATATACATCAAAATCGCACTCCTATCACCTTTAAATGGACTTAAATAATTTGATTACATAGTGATCATCAAATTTTATAAAATTAAATCTGAAGAAGTGTAAGAAGCTTTCTTTCTCAAGGAGGAATTGATTTGCTACCGAGTATTTCGTTGATTCAGA